TGGTTGCGTGACTGTGGTAGATTAATGATTTTTAATGATTTGCGGTCATGAACAGGGTGCCACCTGCTAGTCAGGATAGCAAGGTAAGGTTTCAGTGTTCGATGGGCTGGACCAGGATTCTACTTCCATCTCCTTTTCCGCACACTGTAGTCAAGTGAACATTCAATTAACTGCAATCAGAGTAATTAGGATCTCAATTAATTATACTACCTTAAGGAGAAGGACTAAAGAGATAAGGCACCAGAGGTGCTGTAAGAGAGAAGGAAAGACACTTCGAGGGCTTGTCCTGGGGTCAGGGAGCAATTAGCCCAGTATTCTGTCTGTAATTTGCATCTACATATTTTTCTCTGAACAGGGATGATCTTGATGTAAGATCAAAGCAAGACAGGTACCCTCCAGATAGAATTTCCTAAATCAAAAACTGTACAGATGTTTTCGGATGCTTTCTTAACCATAGAGATTGAGACAAAATCTGACTCCTTCAACTTAGTAAACAGTAAGAAAAACACATCAAGCAGATCCCATGTCCAAAGACTCCAGGTTCTCTAGTTTATTTAGGGAGAGTGGGCACTGGGTAAAAGACACAAAAGAAATAAATACCCCAAGTCACCAGTGACATCACTAAATGCAAACCTGTTATTACTTCTCTGTAATTTTCAGTATTTTATTTTTTGCCTCAGATGACAGGAAGCGGGTCATCTTTTACTTTTCTGAATATTTACCCCTCTTGGTAAAATCCCCTTTACCTTCCCGTGTCTGTGGGTGTTTCCAATATTCATTCTTTAGCTTTTCCTTCCCTCTACTACCTCTCAGACAGCACATCCAACTTGACATCTCTCACTCCTAAAGTTTCTCTCAGCCTTAAATGCCTTTAATTTAGATAATTTGCATACACACTGCACATACACAGTTGAAAGCCTTTCATATGTTTACTGTCACCAATAAAATGCAGATTAAAGAATGTGATACCATTTTCCAATGAATCAGTTCCCAGTAGATAAAAGCCTGTGATGCTTCATGGGTACACAAACATACACACAATAGTGGTAGAAACACACGTTAGTACTGTCCTCTGCTGAGTGATCTACCAGTGTTTAAAATATGTGAGCCTTTGGAGCTAGCAAGATGGCTCAGGGGGGTAAAGGTATCTGCTACCAAGCCTGAAAACTTGAGTTTGGCCCCAAAGACCCACATAAAGGATACTGCTGACTCTTGCTGATTCTTTCTCGACCCCCACACAGGTACTGTGACATGCGTGCTGTCACAAACAAACAAACAAATAGATGTAAAAAAATATATTGACCCTTTGGCCCAGCAGGCTTCAATTTTAGAAAATAGAGACATTTGCAACCCTACAAAAAAAACTGTTGTTTATTTTGTTTTGTTGTTGTTTTTAATGTAGAAAATCTGGAGTTAACACTAAATGTTCAGCAGTAGAAGTTATATTAGGGATAGGTGGCAGACTCCTTTATGTGTATGCTACATGGCCAGTAAAAATAGTGGTTTGGGGCCCAGAGAGAGGGCTCTGCAGTTAAAAGCTTGTATTCTTTTGCAGAGGATCTGCATTTGATCCCCAATACCCACATCAGATGGGTCACACTTGCCTGTAACTCTGGCTTCAAGGGATTCAACTCCTTCTTCTTGTCTCTGCAGGCACCTGCATTCATGTGCACATACCCATAAACAGACACACACAAGTGCACATCTTTGAAAATAAAATGGATCTTTACAAAGATGCTGTTCTAATTAAATTAATGATTTAGAAGTATACCTAATTACTCAGGAAAACATCTGCACTGCGTGTCAGCACATTAAGTCAGATTGTGCAAAAGAACAGGTAACAGTCACCCCGCTTTGCTAAATTAATGGCAGGAAGTACATGCACATATTGCTCATCTTGGGAGAATGAGAATATGATAGATGATTTTTATTTTCTTCCTGTTAATTTCTATGTTTTCTAGTAATTTCTACTAATGTAAACATTTGGGAAGTAGAGGCAGAAAGATCAACAGTATAAGTAAGACTTCTTTGCAATATATTGAGTTTGAGACAAGTATGGGCTACTTGAGACTCTGCCCCCAAGTGAAAATTTACCAAACACCTACCACGTGCCCACCATTATCTTCCAGAGCAATGTAAAGAGCCCCAAACAGGGAAAGGAAGAACATAACCTTTACTCTACAAGCAATGAGCTTAAGGAATTTGCGGAGTTTTGAGCAGGGAATGCCATGATCCATGTAATATTTAATTTTTTTTTCAGATTTATTCTATGTGATCAGAGTTTTGTCTGCAAATTTGTATACTCCCCATGTGTGTACCTGGTGCCCTCAGAGGTCAGAAACTGGAGTTAGGAACCATGGCGAGTGTAGAGAACCAAGCCTCTGCAAGAACAGCAAGTGCTCCTAACCACTGGGCCCATCTCGCCAGCCCCACGGGCAGGAATTGTAAAGTTCATTCTGTCTGCAGACGCCTGACTGATGGGAAGAACAAGACAGTAGGGGCAGGATATGTTTCCAGTGGGATCGAACTGGCAGGCTGACGTCCACACACCTTGAGAAAAAAAAAATGCTGGTTAAAGTCAACTGACCTGACTTGAGACTCAAAAGGGGCAGGAACTGGGGTTGGGAATATAGCTTAGTTGTAGAATCTGGGCATTACAGTTGTCTGCCACCATGCCCCATTTTTGTGGCGCTAGGAGTTAAACCTAGGGTTTGTGTGTGCTAGGCTACCAACAGAACTACATCCTGGGCCCCATATTTGGCAATTCTTTCACAGTGAAGTGAAATTTAAAGGTAAGGTGCTACCCACCCCCCACCTGCTATATTTAGATTGAGAATTCCTTGGACTTCAGAGCACTTGAAGTCTCAAAATGCTGAATTTGGAGACAGAGAGAGATGATAAAATATGGCTCAGGAAACCTCAACTCTGAGTCTGTCCCAATTTTGAAGCCTGCTACGTAGGAGGCTCCCTGGAGAGAGCATATTGGCTCTTAAGGCTCTTTGCCGAGCGCTGAGCACCAGCGGCGGTAAACTTCCAGCCTACTCTGTGCTTTAAAAGCAGAAAGGAAAAATGGGAACTAGGAAAAGGGAAGTGGAAAGGGGCAAAGTGGGTGTGGAGCAACGTGTTGCACATCCCTCGTGAAGCTCCTTGTCTCTAGGTGAGGAACAAGGAATGCATCAGCCGGACTCAATGACGGCATATGGCAGTCTGTCGAGTGTGCTCGGCTGGAAGTTTGTGTGGAGAAAAGTGAGAGGCGAATGAACGTGCCAGATGGTAGTCACCATCACAAGCTCTTGGTGGATCTAATGGCAGGAATGGGAGCGGGGAGACCCCTAACTAGGTGAAGGGACTGTCTGACTACATACGTGGCGGAGTGGCCCCTCCACCATCGCATCCCATCCATTCTGGTGTGCACCGAGTCAAGCAGCAGGTCCGGTTAGCTAAGAGCTGCCTGCCGGCACAGCCTAGGATGCTGGTACAGACCTCCTGGCACAAACCAAGGCCTTTTGGGTTGCTCTTGGCATCGTGCTGGTTACGGAAAGTTTGGTGCAGCCTCACCCCACAGAATCTCTGCCTATTTCCATAGCCCATCATTCTTGTGAAGTTCGTCTGCCTCCGGCTTCCATTCCCCACCCTTCTCCTGACACCCCACCCTTGGCTGTGACCATTAGCAGTTGGCATATTTCTTGACTACACGCAGGCCCTTTTTGTCCTTCCCCTTGGTTCCTTGGAAATCTGCCTGAGTTTGAGACTCTCCTTGTTTATAAAACCATTTAACTATAAGAAGCCTTGGCCCTCTGCTTTCCAGGGCAGGGAGTGGCTTGGCTGACCCCTGTGGAGTCAAGGGAACCAGAGGAAGCCTGGAGACAGCTCCCTTCAAGCTAGAGGGAGCTACAGTGTTTTACTGGATGATGGGCCAGCGTGGGGTCCAAGGATAACCTTATAGTGATGCGATAAGAGCAGCTACTGTTTGGATGCCTTCCACATGCCAGGCAGAGTGCTGTGCGCCTAAGGAATATTGTCCTGTACAATCTCACATTAACTACCAACTCCTGGCTTTGTAAGGGAGAGACTGAGGGTTAAGCAGCTTGTTTGAGGTTGAACTGCAGAAGTTGGCCTCTGACTCAGACTTGCCTGATTCAAAAGTCTGTACTTTAGGAATTAGTTTCACATGGTGTGTGTGTGTGTGTGTGTGTGTGTGTGTGTGTGTGTGTGTCTGTGCGCGCGCGCACGTGCTGGTGTCACACGAGTGGGGAGCTCAGAGGATAACCTACGGGAATTGATTCTCTCCGTCCACCACGTGAGTCCCAGGTGTCTAGCTGAAGTCATTAGTCTTGGCAGCGAGCACATTTACCCACTGAGCCACCTTGCCTGCCCGAATCTGTGCTCCTAACCTCTCTGCTCTCCCACCTTGGTAGGTCTCCAAAGTGTCCAAGAAAGAAGATTCACTGATGTCCAAGGGCTTTGGAATATCTATGGAATATGTGTACACATATTAAGTTCCTCATAAACATTAATGACAGATTTTAGTCCTCTCATCACCTTTAAAATACATCATATTGTCTCATATGATACATGTGCAAGGAAACTGAGTCTCAGCAACGCTCCCTAGCCTCTAGATGATTAAGTAGAGATTTCATCCAAATTTGGCATATCCAGTGCTAGCCTGGGTAAGCTACCCACATCCTTTGTTCCGTCTAGAAGTACAGTGGTATTTATTCCTTAACCTACTGGATACCTGGACTCAAGCATCCATGATTTCTAAGCTGATGGGCCATGTTGCTTTGAAGTGTGTGTGTGTGTGTGTGTGTGCGTGTGTGTGTGTGTGTGTGTGTGTGTGTGTGTGTGTTGGGGGTGTGGTTGAGGGAAGCGATGACACATTGGGCCTTTGTGGTTGTTACTTCCTGGCACAGGACAGAGTGTGTGTGGATGGAGTGTAGAGACCCAAATGGCTTTTAAGCACATTGTCATCTTCTCTCCTCCCTCTCTTTCCAAATTAGGGCGAAGGTTGCCGAACTGTCCCCCTGGCTGGACATGTGGGCTTTGACAGCTTGCCTGACCAGCTGGTGAATAAGTCAGTCAGCCAGGGCTTCTGCTTCAACATCCTGTGTGTGGGTGAGTATTTCCATGGCAGGAAACTCTATTACAGGATATAGGTCCTTAATGGCGAGATGTGGCTTTGCAGGTAATTAGGTTAAATAATGTGTCATTCTCATCTAGTAGCAGACTCGCCCCTCCTCCTCCTCTTATCCCTTTGTTTATTTTTGTAAGCGGCCCGCTGCAATTACTTTTTTTTTTCCTCTGCCCAGACCAGAATCAGAGGCCATACCTTGGGGGAAAAACAGAGCTTTATGAGACTCAGTGGAAAATTTTGTTAAAGGGGGCTGGCTGGCTCGGTCGCTGCTGTCAGGTCCTTTTTGACGGCAGAAGATGAGAACCAGGACAGAACTGGGAGGGAGGTGATGGCTGAGGAAATAAAGATGCCCGCCTTCCAGTGGCGGGTTGTCGACCGGGTCCCTGCAGTTTGTGTGGGCTTGGTACAGTTGAAACTTCAGCTTAGGAATCACCCAGCTGTGTACAAAAATCTTTTATTCCCCTACCTGTATCTCTGCCTGGTCTTTATTTTGTTATGGTTTAAGACAGAGTCTCATCATGTGGCCTAAGCTAGCATGGACCTCAACAAGTCTCCCAAGCTAGCCCCTAATTCTCAGTCCTCCTACCTTAGCTTCCCAAGTGTCGGGGTCATGGTCACACACCAGCATACCTATATGGGAAGGCATTGTTTTAGCCCACTTGATGTGCCAATCACAGCACAAGCAGACTGATAATATTTGTGAAGTGAGCGAAGGCGTTGAGCCCACAGGAAGCATTTGCTATACTTTTCAATGGTTTCTCACATTGGTTCTTCTGGCACTCAGGCTGCAAAGTGAAGCCTGAGAATAGCATCCTCATCCTCCTGGAGAGGAGAATTGAGGAGGACACGGGACTTACCTGAGGTAACATGGAAGAACTGGCAGGGTCATAAAGCAGGGCTATAGGCCTGACCTCTTGTTCCTCCCACTGCCTCTAACCACTGCCAGCAACAGCCCCTGAGACCACGAAAGTGCTTTGGAAACCATTGAGTACCATCAAACAAACATGAGGGACAATAGTACCTTGTCATTTTTTTAAGAATGTGTTTTGCAACCTTAAAAATCCCCAATTTACAAACACAGTGGTAACATGTAATTTTCACCCCACAGTGAAAGAGAAGTATACCTGCATATTTTCACTGACCCCCTTCCAAACCGTAATGGTCGCATAAATACCATAATAAAGCCAATTTTCACACTGGCTGGAACACTTGCAGGCTTCTGCTAATTTCCTTCTCTTATTTTTGTATAGCGCATATAAGGAACTCGTTCACATCATAGATTCAATCTACCGCTGAATTATATGCTTTACTGTTTAATGCACTGAAAATTTCTTTATTCTGCTGGATGTGGTGGTGTAGCTCTATAACCCCAGCACTTGGGAGGCCAAAGGAAGAGGACTGTGAATTTGAGTCTAACATTGGCTGCATGATGAGACCTTGTCTTGAATAAACAAACAAACAAAGATCTTCAAAAAATTTTTCTTTTGAATTTCGAGGCAAGGGTTCTCTGTGTAGCTTTGGAGCCTGTCCTGGAACTTGCTCTGCAGACCAGGCTGGCTTTGAACTCACAGAGATCCACCTGCCTCGGCGTCCTGAGTGCTGGATTAAAGGCGCGCGCCACCAGCACCTGACTAAAATTTTTTGAAGTCATTCATTTTCTTGCTTTTTTTTTTCTCCTCTATTTCCAGTACTCTTTACCAGGTCACTCCCTGTAGGGAATTCACTGTACTTGTAAGGACAAACAGAGCAATAAGGTCACTTCTAAATATGGGTGACAGGCAGTCAGCGAGGCTCGCTCACTAGCAAAAGTGACTCATTCCCATGTATCAGCTTTGGAGCCTATGAGACAAAAATATGTGCTTTGTGGAATTACACATCAGAGGCCTTAGAGTCTACACAGAGGTTGCCAAGTCTAACTCGCAGTCATGTTTAGGTGTTAATTAGGACAGGGATAGAAAATAAATGCGAGACAGGGTATCAACCTCAAGAACAAATGTCATCACGTCTAATATTGGCACTACCAAATTTCTGTTTAGCTAACAAGATCAATCTTTGGCTAATGGCCAACTTATTTCACACAATATTTGATGACTGAAATATCCCAGTACACACACATACCAGATTCCCTTGGCATTCCTCCCAGAATGCCTTATGACCTGTGCTGAAATGGAGATTAAAGCAAAATGACAAACCCACCATAAGCAACCTTTCAAACTAGAGTGATAGACTGGACGGACAAAGCCCTGTGACTCAGAATGACACTCTGATGACAAAGTGTAGGGAAATGTCTCATAGGAATCTTAAGATTCCTCAGGGCCCGCAGGCTGAGGCAGCCACGATCAAGACGAAGTGAGTGGGCTAGTCAACTCACGTTCCCACCAGGATATTTCTTGCCGTCTGCAGCGCTTCTGCATACATGCACCTGATGGCATGAAGCTGCTGAAGGGACTGGGGCAGGCTCTCTTGGAAGGGAAGGGAGGGAAGAAACGAAGACCCTTTCATCCCCAAGGAGGCAGAGATTTTCATTCTCTCTGTTTCTCAAGCTCGAGGAAATGGCTGCCCTCCTGTAATGCCCATAGATAGGACCATTAGATAAAGCAGACCCTATACTGGATCAAAAGATGCCTACAGTGTGTGCATCTTATTCTCTGGCTGTATTCATAACCTTGCCATGGCTCAGGGAACCCTCAACTTGCATCAAGGTCACAAGTGACTCTGAGACTGCCATCTCAGCCCAGCTATAGCACTGTGAACTGTCACGGACTTGGCACAGAGTCCATGGTGAGGTTACTGAAGGTGATCTTTCCTCCTGCAGAGACTGTGTTCTTATGCCTAGTACCTGTATGTGACTGTCACATTTACCTCCTTAGTGACTGTTTGAAAATGCTTCTGTTTGGTTCCAGAAATTGTTTACCTGAAGTATTTTTAGCGTCAAATTATGGCAGTGCTGGCCTTGAGAGCTACTCAGAGAGCTAGGGCAGGTTTTTTTTTCCATTATTGTCTGTCTTGATGTTGGCCCGCTGATCTTATGCCCACACCCAGCAGAGTAAGTGTTGTACATTTATGTGGGCCTAAGTGCATGTGTGCTTGTTGAAATTGAGAGAGGAGGGAAAGAGAATTTTTGTGAATCCAGAGCCTAAATTAGAGTGCAATAAATTGACTGTGCCAATAATTTGGAACCATGATTATTATGATTTTTAGCTAAGCATAAAGATGTGAGCATATATGACCTCAGTCTGATAGATTCTCTAAGGCTGACAGTAGTTACCAAGCGAGGTAATTTTCCCTCATCCCCACCCCATCAAAAATCATATCCCAACCCCTTAGCTTTGGAGATTTTGAGTATCTTGTGACTGTAAACATCCTTATAGGAGGTCTCAAAAGAAAAACCTGAGGCCGGGTTGTGGTGGCACATTCCTTTAATCCCAACACTTGGGAGGCAGAGGCAGACGGTCTCTGTGAGTTCGAGGCCAGCCTGTTCTACAAGAGCTAGCTCCAAGATAGCTAGGGCTGTTACACAGAGAAACCCTGTCTCGAAAAAACTAAACAAACAAACAAAAAAACAATGAAAGAGAGAGAGAGAGAGAGAGAGAGAGAGAGAGAGAGAGAGAGAAACCTGTGCAGGTAATACCAATGTTCTGGGACCTGGTGCTTTGTACTGTGGGGAAAGAGCCCCAAAGAGCCTTTACCCCTCTGAATGTGCTGGCAGTGCTAATGGCCATGAAGAACACAGGCTTATAATGATAATATTTACTTTGAAGCTGCTCAGGATTCCAGGCTCAACTGGGCTCTGTTGAACTTGGAAAACACACTCAGGACAAGCAGAATTGAGGCTTTACTGCAAGAGGTGTATGCAAAGGGTAGCTAGTAGTCTATGAAGGTCAGGGGCTAATGTTCCATTCTTCTATCTCTGGGAAAGGAAGGTGTTAGCCTTAAGCCTCCATAGTGGTCGGTCACTGGCTAACAAGGCACCATGGGAGAAAAGAGTCCCATAGTTTGTGGCGTCCACTGATTTGCATAGTGTCATTATTTCCACCATAAGTGGTTTTAAGCTATAGATGTCACAGAACACGGGTTGGGGAAGAGGTGCAGGAAGCTGCATGTGCTAGTTGAAACACATCACAGTCTGCCAGACCCCAGCAAGAACAGGAAAGAGAAAGGACAAGGTCGCCTAGCCAGGCATGACCTTGTCCCTCTCCACAGACTCCAGTGGCCAACTCTAGTTCCTGGAGTGTTTCCTTTTGGACACCTCCCTGTCGAACTCAGCGGCATTTTCTCTTGGCTTGTTCCACCATTTATAGCTGAGAGAGACCTCTCTCCAAGCGAACACGGACCGTGGCCATCTTGTTCTTTGCTGTAATTTCAGCCACTATAATTGTATCTGGCTGTGATCAGACAGAGGTTTCGTAAATACTTGTTGAGTGACTAAATGAACCAATAGGTCATGCTTGTGGCCTCACTAGAGTGTATTGGTTCAAAGCATCGGCTACTTGTCTGCCTTAATGAAAATACTGACTCTGCCGTGGATTAGTTTGTGACCTTGGACAGTCATTTCCTCTACAGTATATAGAGGAGGAAACCTGGGTCCAGAGAGGAGGAGGAGGAACTTGCAAATTCATGAAGCTAGTGGATGACTTGGTTAACCTAACTATAAATTGAGGGTGAATTGTGTCTAGGGGCTCACTGGGTTACAGTTCAGGGTTAGACCATTTCTTTTGCTTGTTTATTTTGGTTTGTTTGTTTGTTTGTTTGGGACAGGGTCTCATTTTGTAGCCCAGGCTGGCCTGGAACTCACAGACATCTGCCTGCCTCTGCTTCTAGGTGTCACGGTGCACAGTCAGGGGTAGAGCTCTCATTTAACCTGGTGGACTTGAGTCCCTGGACTCCATTCCCAGCACTAAAATGAAAACAAAAGAACCCATAGTGTCTACCTTCTAAGCTTGCTGTAAGGAACAACAACCTGTGGAGGTTGAGGGTATGCCTCAGGAGTTGAGAGCTTGCCCCAAATGTGTGAGGGCCTTCGTTCCATTCCCAGCACTAAGCAAAAGAAAAGAAAATGTGCATTTATTCACAGCAATCTTGGCAGAGAGCACATAAATGTGCTACAAGCAAATACTATTGTTGTATGCCTAGAAGTTCCAGCACTCGGGAGGCTGAGGCAGAGCCCATGTCAAAACTAAGCCAAATCACCCTTCCCAGACAAAAAGACCCGCTATTGTTCTTCCAACCTTCCCCTTTTATAGGAAAAAGGACTAGAACTCAGACTGGGGACATGGCTGAGATTTTGTCACATGGCAACGTAGTGGTGGGATAATGGAAGATTTATCTCTCTTCCTTCCTTCCTTTTTTTTTTTTGAGACAGGGTTTCTCTGTGTAGCCCTGGTTGTCCTGGAACTAGCTCTGTAGTCCAGGCTGGCCTTGAACTCAGAGATCTTCCTGCCTCTACTGCCAGAGTACTGGGATTAAAGGTGTACGTCAACACCGCCCAGCAAATTTAAGTTGTTTAAAAAAGACATTTGCTTATTTTACATGTATGAATGTTTGCTTACATTTGAGTGCTACGTGAGCGTCTGGTGTCTGAAGAGACCAGAGAACAGTTTTGGTCCTCCTGGAACTGGAGTTACAGCCCACTGTGAGCTGCCATGTGCATGTTGGAAACTAAAACCAAGTCTTCTACAAGAGTAGCTAGTGCTTAATCACTGGGCCAACTCTCCAGCCCCTATGTTATTTTTAAAAATTGTTGTTTCCAGTACAATGTCAACAATAAGCAAAGTGAGAGGAAGAACAAGAGTTCAAAGAGTTAAGAAGCCCTGCTCTCTATTGTGACACGCTCTGGGAGGGCTGGGGAGAAGGGGAGGGAAATTAAGCCCTCGGGACTCATTGAGTTTCCTGCTGGAAGCCTGTTGCCAAGTTCCTACCTTCTTGCCGAAGCATGGTGGAATCTGCTGACCTGATCCCAGTTAGGCCACGTGTCATTTCCCCACACACATTTCCCATGAGCCCAAGGCGACAGCATTCTAGTCTCAGGTTGAGTCTGTGTCAGCCATTGAGAGAGGATGTCACTCCAGCTCCAGCTCCATGATGGCAACTGAGAGCAGAAGCACCCAAGAGTCTCTGGAGGAGCTGGTTGCGTTTTCTGCCTTCTTCTAATGCCTACATTTATTGTAATTCTCTAGACATGGGAGTTCTTCTTTCTCTTCCAGACCTTCATTATTTAACATCTAGTTGCCACAACCCTTTCTGTTGTTGGCAGGCATCTGGGTGGTCAGTTTCCTTGCTGGTCCTCTCTGCTGCTGGGCCTACCCCACCCAGCCCCCATTTCTCCAGCTGTGCAAACAGGGTGGGTCCTGGGCTCTGTAGAACTGCTCCTGAGACCTTCCAAACAAGGCTTTCTCCAGGCACTGTCAAGGATACAGAGGATTCTCCGGGAATTTCTAGGATGTGGAGGCAGTGAGCCCATTCTGGAGGGCTGGGGCGATTGGAGCCTGCCACTGGCCAGGCGCAGCAGTTATGAGCTCAAGGGACAAAGAGGATGAAGTTGAGGCTGTACACGGGAAACCCATTAGACATACAAAAAACTAGATGAAATGCACCTGAAACATGGGTGTCCACAGGGAAGTTGTGTTGGAGCACGGCAGCCGTCCTTGCATTCCCACATCAGAGATTCTGACCGTTTGCAGGTGAGCTGTGCCACTTCCTTTGGTAGGGTAATGGGTGCTGTATTCTCCCACATGCCTGAGTCTGTCACCTCCCATGACAAAGACCTCACTGCACCAGACTTTCTTGGAACCTGAATACTTTCTTTAGGGAAGGATAAAAGAGGGCCTCTTCTTAAAAAAAATTGTTGTCCCTGATGGATATAGCAGACCTTGGCTGGAAACAAAATCTGTATGAGGAGTTTTGTATACCCTGGCTATAATGGTTGTTCTGTCTCTTTTAGAGACAAGCCACGCCCACTCCCTCCCCCATCCGCTGAGGCAGGCCGATCTTCAACTTCCGGCCTGAGCTTGCTCTCTTTTCCAGCTTCCTCTTGGAGAGGCAGCTTCGCTTCTGCCTCTCTCCCCACTTCTCCACTTCCCCCCTTCTCTCTCTCTCTCTCTCTCTCTCTCTCTCTCTCTCTCTCTCTCTCTGTCTCTCTGTCTCTCTACCCTCCTTCTCCCTTACTCCTCCATAACCCCCTGAATAAATATTCAACCTCACTCCACATGCCGTGTCTATCCATGTCTCTGTCTCCTGCCCGCCCACCATGTGTCTCCCTGCCTGGGATCAGCCACTGCTCGGGGACCGGCAGCTGTCTTTGCATGGGACTGGCTGCTTCCAGAGCCCGCAGCCTGCCGCCACATGGCCCGCCACCACCATTTGGGACCTACAGCATTTCTGCTGCCTACTGCCACTGGGGATCTTGCAGTATTTTTTAAAAAAATGATAAAACTGGCCATTCACCTCACAGTTATGCCTGACTAAGAAATAGGGCTGGGGACCTTGGGAACCAGGCTAACTTGAAAGCTCTCATTATAGGTAAATTTTTTATAGATCATTGTTTAGGATAAAAGGAGCTTGGAAGATTCACAGCTCCACACACTGAGTGGATAGGGAGAAAGGGAGCAGCTTTGATTCCCCATCATGCAGTTTGCTCTGCCTGCAAATGTATACTGTTGGTCTCAAGGGGACTTTTGCCAGGCTAGAGATTACCCAGAGTAAACCTAAGCCCAACCATGAGGATAAGTCAAAGGTCACAGTCTCTCCTTGGTTGGGAAGAGGTAGGAGAAGAGGAACGGATGCTGATTTAAAAAAAAAAAAGTAGTGTGGTCTAAGGTGTTCAAAGAATGGTCCAAGGTCATTAACTTGTTGGTTTGTTTGTTTGAGATAGGGTCTTGCTAAGTGTCCCTGCCTGTCTTTGAACTTACTCTGTAGACCAGGCTGACCTTGAATTTAAATCCACCTATCTGTGTCTTTCAAGTTTTGGGGTTAAGGGCATGTACCACCTTGCCTAGCCTGTCAATTATTGACTTAAAGACAGGCTGGTCTCAAACCCAGTATGGAACAGAGGTTGATTTTACCCTTATCTGCCTCCTTTTCCCCGAGTGCTCGGATTACAACTCTGGGTGGCACCTTGCTCGGTTCCTTCAATGCTGGCCTCAGTTATACTAAGCCACACTCTACTCTCTGAGCTACATCTCTGGCCTTAGCTACTGACTTTTAATTCTAGTATTTCCGATTCACTCAGAGTAGGATGCTAAGACAATCTGAAGCCATAGAGATGGTTCGAAGTAGTTTTAGTGCCTAGCCCAGCTGTGGCTTCGTATCAGATTCCTGCTGAAATCCATGTCGCTTCTTTCTTAATGTGTGATTGTGATGTCTGATTCTCCAAAGACTCCTTGGTTCTAGGCTGTGGTTTGGCATCCTCTAGTGTCCCAGGAATAACTTCCCCAAACCTTTACTAGTCCACCATAACCCTTCCCCCATTCATCGCCCAAGTGTGAAATTCTAGTGGCTGGATTTCATTAGTGTCACGCAGCTGACATGTTAGCTAAGCAAACAAATGCCTGCTTTGTTTGAAATGTGAGAAGAACTTGTGGTTTAAGTTCATTCCTCGGTAGATAAAAAATGGTCTCACTGAAAGGTCATGTAGACTGAGAGAAGCCAAGGTTAGAGACAGTCTCCCCACTTAGAACACAGAACTATGGCATCTGTGGAATTGAACACAGATAGTCTTGGCATAACCTGAAGCAGGGCACAAGAGGAGGGGGTATTTATTTAACAACTGTTATTTCTTTACATGTTCTACTTCAAAAATACAGAAAAACTAAAGAAACTATATATGAGAACTATATATAAGCGCACTACTCAGAGATAAGCATTAATAAGAGTATATATTTCTTTACAGCCTACTTTTAGAGATAATTATACCCCTCTATCTGTATATATAGCATTTCTTCCTCTACCTCTAGAAGCAATGTATGTTCAAGGTAAGGCTTCAAATAACAGAAAAAAAAATATGAAGGCTAAAATGGAAATTTCTCTAGGATTGTGAGCTGTCGGTTACTGGCCTGTCTGTGCTTTCCTCATGAAACAGAGGCTCTATATCCCATGTACTTCTGCATGGTTTTCATGTGGTGCTGCAGCATGTATACATACTTCTCTCTTCATACATGCATGTGGCTACATAGTCACTGTGCGATATCGTTTGCTTTTCAGGGGAGACAGGCTTGGGCAAGTCCACCCTCATGGATACCCTGTTCAACACCAAGTTCGAGGGGGAGCCGGCCACCCACACACAGCCAGGTGTTCAGCTCCAATCCAATACCTATGACCTCCAGGAGAGCAACGTGGGGCTGAAGCTCACGATTGTGAGCACCGTGGGCTTTGGGGACCAGATCAACAAAGAGGACAGGTAAGGAAAGCAGTGGGGTGGGAAGGTGAATGGAGGAAAGGGGCTTACCATGGGAGTCTTGGAGAGAGCACAGACTCTGGGGCCCAGCCTGTCTCACTAGAATGACGTGGGCAGGCAGCTTGTAAACATGGCGTCATTGGAGGGCACCTGTCTATAACAACTGTGCCCCTCCATATACTTTGCCAAAAGAAGGGTGTCTTTCTAATACATGTGTGTGGAGCCTTGAGTCTGTTCAGTTCTGTGCCAGGCCCTCCGGTACTTTAATAATCTGAAAGGAATGGCTTAATCTCTGCTCCCAAGGCATTCACGGGAAAGGCCTATCTTAAGCAAATAATTTCCACTGAGAGGAGTATGTCCTGTGAAGTAAAGGACAGGCTTCAGTGAGACCACAAGGGCAAGAACAGTCAGTTCTATGTCCAGAAGCCAGAGAGGCTTTCTCAGAAGCCTCAGGCTGTCAGTGACATCAGCAGGTGGTGGTGGGGGAAGAGGGACCAAGGAGGTTTAAGCAAAGAGGAAGGAGGAGAGCCAGGAGAAGTTGTAGGGGCTTCAGGATGCGTGTGAGGGGTGAAGGAGGCTGAGATGAGGATATAATAAAGCCTAGCGTAGGGGAGGAAGAGTGGGTAGGGCCCTCACACAAAAAGGCCCTCTCAACAGTCTTTTTTTTAAAAAATATTTGTAAGCCAGGAAGTGGTGGCGCACATCTTTAATCCCAACACTCACAGAGCAGAGGCAGGTGGATCTCTGTGAGTTAGAGGCCAGCCTGGTCTACAAAGAAAGTTTTAGGACAGTTAAGACTGTTAGATAGAGAAACCCTGTCTCGAAAAATCAAAATAAAAAACCTCTTTGCGTGTATGTGTTTGTGTGTGCAAGCACAGGTGCGTGTATCACAGTATATGTCCCACGGTGCATATGTGGAGGTCAGAGGTCAACCTCTTAGTTGTTAATTATCACCTTTGGTCTTGTTTGGGAGGTTTTTTTTTGCTATTCTATGCATATGACAGACTGACTGGCTAGAAAGTGAACTCTATCTCAGCCTCCTATCCCAAGTAAAATCATTTGGATTACAGATGTGTGTCGCTTTCTCCAGCTTTACCTGGGTTCTGGTGATCTAAACTCAGATCATGTTTTTGTGGCAAGTGCTTTACTCACTGAGCCTTCTTCCCAGCCCTTATTCTACTTTTAAGCATGTGATTTATGGGGGGGGGGGGGGAATGTGCCTGTGAGTGCAGGTGCCTGTAGAGGTCACAAGAGGGCACCAGATTCCCGGGAGCTGGAGTTGCAGGCGTTTGCCACCTGCCTGATGTGGGTGTTGGGAAGCAAACTTGGGTTCTTTGGAAAAGGAGTACAAACTCTTGACTGCTAAGCCCTTTCTCCACCCTTGGGTTTGGCTTTTTTTTGGGGGGGAGGTTTTTTTTTTGAGGGGAGTTGTTGTTTTATTTGATTGTGGAGTAAGTTCTCACTATGTACCTTTGGCTGGCCTGGAACTCTCTATATAATCCAGGCTGGCCTTGAACTCTCAGAAACCCACCTGCCTTTGTCTCCTGACTGCTAGAATTAAGAGTTCACCACTACACTCAGCTTGCATTTGTATTTTGTTTTGTTTTGTTTCTCGAGACAGGGTTTCTCTGCATAACAGTCCTGGCTGTCCTGAATCTCACTCTGTCGACCAGGCTGGCCTCAAACTCACAGAGATCCACCTGCCTCTGCCTCCCTGATACTGAGATTAAAGGTGGGTGCCACCACTGCCCGACTTTGGTGTCATTGTTGTTGTTTTGTTTTACTTGGGATTTTGTTCATTTTGTTTTGTCTGAGACAAGGTCTTTCTATGTATCCCTCTCTGGAACTTGCTCTGTAGCCCAGGCTGTCCTCATCTGCAGTAGCTTCTCAGCTAGGGGAAGGGTCTCAGGGGCCCTGCTCCCTGCTGTGCTGGAGTGCTGTTGCTCGGCTCTTGTGGCGATCACTGCAGCTGTTTTGGACTTATGAGTCCAAAAACTCTGTTGTGTCCAGAAGACAGCATTTTACAGCATCCCTCCATCCTTCAGCTTTTACATTCTTCCATCTTCTTTGATGTTCCCTCCGCCTTAGGGGAGGGGTTGATGCAACTGTCCCATTTAGGGCTGAGCGCTCAGTCACTTCTTAGCAGTCTGAGCAGTTCTGGGCCCCTGTATTAACTGCTGCCTGCTGCAGAAAGAGCCTTCCTGAGCAAAGGTGAGAGCAGCACAGGTCTATGGCTAGAAACATAAATATTGGGAAGGAGGTTTGATAAGATGTCCCTTCAGTAAAACAGCAGCAGTAGCTTCTCCCTATGACCTATCGTTACTAATCAATAGGCTTCTGACCAAGTGTACAGTAACAGATGTGGATTCAATCTTGTGGATCAGCCTCAGATCCAATCAGAAAGTAGTTAGTTGCCCCGTGGCAGCTACACATCTTGTCTGGCAGATCAGTATTTGTAGGCTCCAGCAGTGGATAAGATCTCTGGTATCCTTGGTTCCCTAGTGACCTGGGTAGCACCTCCCAGCACTATGGAAGTTGGCCAGTAGATATTTTCGGGTGACTTCCATATTGATTTCTTTGTGTCCAGTAAAATAATGTGATCTCTTTAGCAAGAAGGTCTTAATATTAAGTTGTGATGAACAACCAGGAACATTGGCAATAACCTATAGGGCCTGCAAAACCAGTGACTCAGAGGGAGGTGTGCTGTGCTGGGTACTAGAGTTTTGGTCTCATCACCTACTGTCTCCTAGGGGCAGCATTGTCTACCTATGTAACCTACTTCTATTCAAACTCTTTTTAAAAAAAATTCATTGTGTGTGTGTGTGTGTGCACATGTGCACACATGTGTGTGTGAACACACCCCAGGGAGCACACATGTGTGCACCTGCACAACATGTATGTGTGTGAGTACTAGTGCCTGCAAAGACCAGAAGAGGGCATCGGATCCCGTGGAACTGGACTCATGGGTGGTTGTGATCCATTCTGACTGGGTGCTGGGAACTGAACTTGGGTTCTCTGTGAGAGCAGTGAGCACTCTTAACTTTTGAGCCATCTCTCCAGCTGAAACTTTTTCAAAAACTGTATTTTAATTTATTTTTGCTTTATGCACATGAATGTTTTTCCTGCTTGTACATATGTGCACCGTGTTCATGTAATGTCTTTGAAGCCAGAAGAGGGCGTGGGAGCCCCTGAAACTGGAATTACAGGCAGTTGTGAACTGCCACTTGGATAGTGGAACCAAACCCAGGTCCTCTGTAAGAGCAGCAAGTGTTCTTAACCCCTGAGCCATCTCTCCAGCCCAAAATTCTATTTGAAATTAGATGACAAAGTAGTAGTTTTCCAGAAGGCTTTTTCATTGTTCTTAGTTTGGTTTCCCTCTCGTGCTCCTTCCTTTCCTCTATCTTTCCCCCATTTCCCTGCCCAAACTGTGAACCCCCAGTCCACAGGTAGTTTCTCAAGAACTGAAACCAATTCTGTTTTTTACATGAAATTCTAAAAGGAAGACACCTCTCTTTTGAAATAAGTACATTTACTTATTAAGTAGTTGGTTTTTTAAAAAAGATTTATTTATTTATTTATGTATTTACGTATTATGTATAGTGTTCTATCTGTCTGTATGTTTGCTGGCCAGAAGAGGGCACCAGATCTCATTACAGATGGTTGTGAGCCACCATGTGGTTGCTGGGAATTGAACTCAGGACCTCTGGAAGAGCAGTCAGTGCTCTTAACCTCTGAACCATCTCTCTAGCCCCGAGTAGTTTTTTTTATTGTTTTTATTGCACTATACATTTTTGTCTGCTCCCCTCGTTTCCTCCTCTCTCTTCTTCTACCCTCTCCCGTGACCCTCATGCTCCCAATTTACTCATGAATGAATTGTTTGTTGCGTGTGTTCATGAGTATGCACACACACTCCATACTGGTGCCATGGCATATGTGCAGAGATCAGAGGACTACTTTGGTGAGTCACTTCTGTCCTTCCACCATGTGAGACCCTGAGCTCAGACTCATGTCATTGGGCCCTGTAGCAAGTGCCTTACTCTGCGGTGTTGTCTCACTGACCCCATCACTCTTTTATTTTTCTTTTTATAGGACTGCTTATTTTGCTAGTCTTGTTTGATTGAGCATCACTTAGAGCCTACTCCCCGTCAATTGAGTAGTTGGGCGACAATCTGAGTGCTACACTCGGCTGCGTATTCTTTTCAGGAAGTCTTCAATGACATTTCTCACAGTCCTTTGAATTGTAGGCGTTCCACATGTGGACAGTGTCTTGATCATGAGAGTTGGGAATACTGAACAGATACCGCCTCTTAGGCACTAATCTACTTCATTTGATTTCTACAATATCTCTTGTAGTTTCTCATGATTTTAAGTTGATAGCTGGGCATGGTGGCACATGCCGGCAATCATCACACTCGGCAGACTGAGGCAGGGTGACTGAGAGTTCAGTGCCAGTCTGTATAACTTACTGAGAATTTGTCTTTTAAAAAACTAACTAAATTAAAAAAAATATATGATAGATAAACATTTTAAAATTCAAATAGTACAAGCACATATAGGAAATGATAAAGCTTCTCCGGGATTGGGGTAGGGAGCAGGAATGAAGTAAGCTGAAATCCCCTGTAATAAAAAGCAGTTTGTTTGTTTTTTCTTGAAGTGCTGGGGATCGAACCTAGGACTTTTGCATGCTAGACAAGCACACTAATTCTGAGCTATCCCCAGCCATTTTTAAATTTTCTTATTTGAGTCTAGGTTAGCTTTGAACTCTATCTGTAGCACAGGCAGGCTTTGACTTTGTGATTCCCCCTTCGTTATAATCCTCCCCCAGCCTCTCTAACACTGGGACTGTAGACCAGTGCCATCAAGTCCTATAAAAATAGTGTTTCCCACATGTTATCAGGGGCATTTCAGCACAGATATTTAAGTACAACTGCACTGAAAAGGACTTCAGAATGCCCTGCGTTTTCTGTGGCATATATTTAAATAAGGACAAAACAACCCAAAAT